GAGGGGTGTGCTTGCTTCCCTTGTATCTTCAATTGTGGACTGTCCAAGGCGTCTACAAACTGATCCCTCAGCAACAGCTTGAGGCCATTGGGTGGTGTAGTTGGGTAGGCCTTGTGTGCCATGCTTTCCATATCCTGTGCCAGCTCTTGCAGGCTCTCCCCTTTAGCACGGACTCTAGTTCTAAACCTAGCCCTGAAGACTTCAGACTGATTTTGAGTTCCATACCTAAGTTCCAGAGCAGTTACCAGTACTCTATAGTTGTGCCTGTCGTCTGCTGACAACTGTCCAAGTATTTCCAGTGGATGTTCCTTCAAGCTCGTTGCCAGGTACACTGCCTTCTGCTCCTCTTTCCACCCATTCATTTTTGCCAGGAGCTCAAATTGTGATCTATATGCTTCCCATTGTGCTTCCCAACGAATTCCTGTGGCTTCCTTCTTACTAGATCACCCCTATTGCTGACACTCGTGTCTGGAATGTGACTTCTAACAGGACTGAAGATGTCTACATTAGGGTTTAGGTGCAGTGTCTGGAAGGGGCTTCATGTTGTCTGGGGCTGTTTAGGTCCATGTTTAATATATCCTCCCTGTGTAAAGGACAGTAATTCATCCTTTAATGTATTTAGTTCACTTTGAAATTCACTAATGTTTTCCATTTGGACTTCTTGCCGCTGTTGTTGACTTTCCTATAGTTGCTGCTGACTTTCCTGTAACTGTTGGATACTTTCTTCCTGTTTCCTTTCTTGTTCCAGTTGCCACTGCTGTAATCTCTCTTCATGTTTATTTTCTTTCTCCTCCAACCAGTGTTGTAGTCTCTGTTGTTGATTTTGCTGTTCGAGCTGCCACTGTTGCAGGTCTTCTTGCCACTGCTGTTGTCTCTCTTCTTGTTTCTTTTACTGATTTTGTATTGCTGCCATCAAATCTGCTAAGCTGTAGTTTGATTTGTCAGCTCTCGTTTTCATCTTCCTTTTTTTTTCCGTCCCACTTCTGACACCAATTTGTTGCATACCTGCTTCTTTGTTAATTTCCTGTAGAAATTCTTTCCAAGAAACTTCAGCGATACAAGTCCTTTCTTAATTAAAACTAGTTTATTCTTTCTCGTTACAAACTTTGTAATACACTTAATTTCCAGTCACTTTAAACTTAACTACTTTTATAAACACACGCTATAATTCACAGCGATTCACACACTTTACTTACAGTGCCTACTGCTCGCTTGACTCAATTATCTATCTCTATATTTATCTATCTGCAATTATATTTCCGCTTTATTTGCCGGTCTTATATACTAAAAAAGAGGGCGCCTAGAACAGACTAGAGTTGTCAGGAAAA